CACACACACACACACACACACACACACACACACACACACACACACACACACACACACACGTCCTTCTATTCTCATTGGGACTTTGCATTGACTTCCATTCATTTTCTGGTTATTTCTACAGTCTAACCCTGACCCACAGGTACACACCTGAYCCTAAACCTAGCTTAAACTCTTTACACACCTTAGTCCTACACTGAACCCCTGACCCACAAACAGTAGTTCACCCAATAGGAACCAAGCTTTTGTCCCCATTAGGAACAGTGGGTCCTCACAAGGCTGTGTGTGCTGGAAAAATGGTCAAAAAATCATCCCCACCAGGTAACAAAAACATGCGCTCACACATACATACAAATACAGCTGTGTCTAGCTACACAAAAGCAGCGACAAAACAGCCGGAAGTTGATTGAAGCAGACTTCACAATAAAAGCCTAACGTTTTTAATGTGTTCAAACTGAGCAACAAAATGAATGAAGTTGAGCAAGTCAGACCTGTAGCAATAAATCAATTAATCATTCGATAAATTAAAATGAGGTCAATTTTTTTCGTTCGCCTGCTTGTTTTGTTTTCTTTGTGTCTCCCTCTTTTCTTCTGTTTAGCATAAGGTATTCATGTCAGCCCATGTCTACYTGTATCGTGACCCTCAAAAATCTGTAGTTTTCACAAAAAATCTGTATTACTCACAATGGGGGGTTTCAGGCAAACTGGCAAAGTTGACATGTATGGGTATTTGCCATCTGGGAATAGCACAAGCGCCCTATGAACAGGCAGAGGAGCATCTTTGGTTTTCGGACGCCTCAGGGCACTGGACAAAACCATGGGTTGAATAGTTTTTGTTTTACACTACGTAAATTTTATGAATTTCATAAAACTTTCATACTTTAACTTTCTTTGGCACAATGCTGCGTGGTACTGGTGGAGTTTGATGCACTGTGATTGAAATCAATGCATCAGCATCCAGGAGTTTGCACATGAACCGGTGTTGAACGGACATAGTCACATGACTAGTTTTCTAAAATGAGTAKAAGTCCCCATATACAAGTCGCTCTATGCTTTCTTTAGGATGGTGTTTTACAAATATATTCTTTATGATTTATGTAGCTGAATTTTATCACTGAAAATTTAGCAGACRTCTTCTCCAGAGTTGTAAAGTAACTAAGTACAAATACTTTGTTAATGTACTTATGTAGAATCTTTGGGTATCTGTCCTTTACTTGAGTAATTATTTTTCAGCCTACTTTTTACTTCTACTTCTTACATTTTCATGCAATTATCTGTACTTCCTACTCCTTACATTAAAAAAAGAAATAGAAAGTCGTTACTTTTATTTCATTTTTGCTTGTTTTCCTCTCAGCTGCTTATTGTAAAAAAATAAATACTATCCTTATTAATTGTGCCTGCAAGATAAAGTTGATTTAATTGTGGTTGAATGAGAAGTATAAATAAATAAAATTCTGATACCGTATTAGTTTGTACACAAACAAATCATGTCACACTCCAGCAGGACATAATCATTAAAATAAAAGTACTGTACTTAAGTATTTGTATTTCATGAATTATATTATTGCATTTGGCCGCAGCCCTCGGATAGATTTTCATTTTAGGGAAAAGTTTTGTGCAGCCTTGATATATGTATATAAATTGAAACAGACTAGTGCATCCTAAATTTAACAAATTATTTCAATAC